GAATGAGAACCGTGAGACTACCTATAGGGCCTAATCCCCCCATTAATTCAACAGATGTTGCAGGGCATCTTAGGCCACTCAATGAGCGAGTGCACATGGCCGCCTCACCGCCTCCAGGTGAACCAGTCATCTCCAATGAATACCGGGACCTGGCGGAGGCATTTAGTGAAAAAGAATGTGATGCCCTACCCCCTCACAGACCCAATGACTGCTCCATCGAGGCAAACTCCCACGACCGAGAATGTATGCCATGTCCCCCCTCAAAATGGAGGAGATGCAGCGATACATGAACAAAAACCTAGCGAGCGGGTTCATTGAATGGGCCAAATCCACTGTGGGAGCCCCTGTGTTGTTCAAAGAGAAAAAGATGGGTCTCTTCATCTCTGCATAGACTGTAAGGGTCTCAACGCTGTGAGTGTGGAAAATAAATATCCCCTCCCCCTCCTAAAGGACTTATTAAGGGGAGTGTCTTCACTAAATTAGACCTGAGAGAGGCATAATACCGGGTGAGAATAAAAGAGGGCGACGAGTGAAAAACTGCCTTCAACTGTCCTATGGGGAGCTATCAATTTAAAGTCATGACATTTGGACTACAGGGGGCCCCAGCTGTATTCATGCAGTTGATTAATGAGGTCCTACATGATCACTTATACAAAGGGGTTTTGGTATATCTTGATGACATCCTGATATACAGCACGAATATGACTGATCACATAAAGCTGGTGAGAGAAGTGTTAAAGAAACTATTGAATGCCAAGCTTTATGCCAAATTGTCGAAATGTGAATTTCACCAAACCCGATTAGACTATCTTGGCTACAGAATTTCCAACGAGGGTATTGAAATGGATCCAGCCAAGGTGAAAGCTATAATTGAATGGCATCCCCCAAAGACTTGCAAACAGCTCCAGAGCTTTCTGGGTTTTGCCAACTTTTATCGTCAATTCATCCCCTCTTTTGCCGAGATTGCCCTACCCCTTACAGAACTACTCAAAACAGGCAAAGGAGGAGGGAAGCCAAGACCGGGCGAACCACTAGCATGGACAATGGGCTGTCAAACAGCTTTTGAGAATTTAAAGAGACTATTTGCTTCTGAACCGGTCCTAAAGCACCCCTGCCCAGGGGAACTCTTTGTGATTCAAGCCGATGCCAGCGATGTGGCAGTTGGAGCTGTTTTACTGCAAAAGAACAAAAGTGGGGTCTTGCAACCCTGCGCCTACACCTCTAAGAAATTTACTGAGAGCGAGCAGAGATGGGCAATCTGAGAGAAAGAGGCCTTCGCGATTAGATGGGCACTATTAAACTGGTGACACTATCTAGAAGGGAGCAAGGTGTCATTTGAGGTATGGACAGATCACAAAAATCTAGAAGCACTGAAAACTTCCCACAAATTGTCCCCAAAGCAAGTGCAATGGGCACAGTAATTTAACTGCTTCAACTTCACTCTAAAGTACATACCAGGAGGAAAGAACTTCCTAGCTGATGCGCTATCCTGGTTACCCCAATACAAAAGTGAACGGGAGGAGGTTAACGAGGCAATTATCCCCAATCCACAAACTGCCACTTAACTTACACCTCGCAGGGTCCCCAATCCTGATGACTCTGGAGTAAAGAAAATAAAGCAAGAGCTCCTCACCGATCAATGGTTCAAAGATAATCAAACCTCCCTTATCTGCAGGGATGGCTTGGCTTACAAAGGGGGGAAACTATATTTGCCAGAAGCCCTCCATCTTAATGCTCTCAAACACAGCCATGATGTAAAACAGGCTGGACACTTTGGACACAGGTGGCCAGGGCTGAAACGGGATGTAGAAAACTATGTAAAAAGTTGTACTGTATGTGCCACAATGAAAAGAATCCCAGGGAAAACCCCCTGGTTACTGCAGCCAGTGGCAGACCCTTCTCAACCCTGGGAAGAAATAGCTATGGACTTTATAGTAGACCTACATGAAAGTAGAGGAAATACTGTCATCTGGACTGTGATAGACCTGTTCTCGAAGCAGACTCATTTCATCACCTGCAAAGGGCTCCCATCTGCCCAACGACTGACCAAATTGTTCCTGAAACACATTTACTGGCTGCATGGAGCCCCTAAGCGAATAATTTTGGACAGCGAAGTTTTGGAAGAGGGTGCAGTTCACAGCGAAGTTTTGGAAGAGTTTTCTTAATTTGATTGGATGATCTCAATGTTTAGCCCAATGGGGCTGCAGAATCCGCTAACAAAATGGTGGAGCAATATGTTAGATGCTACGTTTCTTACCAGCAGACGAACTGGACTGACCTCCTCCTTTTTGCAGAGGTGGCGTAAAATAATTCTGTGCACAGCACAGAGTAGCCACAGGAAGAGTTCAGCCGAATACCTGAATATCCTTAGGTGCCCTCCGCTTCCCAGACACTTGACCAATGGGTGGGAAGAAGTTTGGAGAAACACAAAAACTGCTTTAAAAAAAGACTTTTGAAACCTATAAAAAACAGGCTGATAAAAAGAGGGCTCCCCAAAGAACATTCCAAGTTGGGGAAAAGGTTTATTTGTCAACTAAGTATTTACACCTCAAATTGCCCAGCAAGAAATTGGGACCAAAATTCTTGGGGCCTTTCCCCATAGTAAGGATCATCAATCCGGTCACTGTAGAACTGAAACTCCCTAGGCTTTTAGGGAGAATTCACCCAGTCTTCCATTGCAGCTTGTTAAAACCTTATCGGGGCTCCACTTTAAGACCTCCCCTGAAGAAGGCACCTGGGCCTCTTGTAGTTGCGGGATAGACCCACTATGAAGTGAAACGTATTCTTGACTCTAGAATTTTTAAAGGGAAATTGCAGTACCTAGTACAATGGAAGGGATACCCGTTGTCTGAAGCCACCTGGGTGAAATCCAGTGAGGTGAAAGCTGATGGGTTCGTCAAAAGGTTTCATGCGAAATACTCCAACAAACCAAAAACTAAATCATTAACATATGCTTTTGCTTTGACAAAATTTACAGAACTGCCTGGTATTTTTAGAGTTAATTCAGATGATGGGGGGGGGGGAGGAAAAGTGAACGGAAGTGAATCTTTGCCCTTCAAGTTAATTGGAAGATGTGAATCATGACCCCAAAATAGGGGAGGGGAAATGCCTGGAATGTTATGTGCAAAGGGAAGGGAAATTCAGATCTTGGCATCCATCATGCCGTGCTGACATGTCTCTACTAATAAAGGGTTTTTTGGTTAAACCATGCCTGAAAATTCTTTGAAGTGTTTCATTAGTCAGATACATGACAGGTACATTCATTGCCACTGTAACTGAATCCAGCCCCATTGTTTTTAGTCATCTTCTTCTCTTTCTTTCCAACATTCCCAGTATTATAATTTTCTCCAGAGAGTTAACTCTTTATATTAATATTTCCAAACTGAGATAATTTGAGCCTGGTCATTTGTGCTTTGAATGAACACTCTGGTTGAATTGATTGATGTTCCATTTCCTTGTTTTCTTGGCTGCCCACAATATACTCAGGAGTCTTCTCCAACCCTAAAATTAAAAAGTGGCAATTCTCTTTCTCTCCTGCTTCTTCAAAGTCCAACATTTACTTCCATAGAGTATTACAGGGAATCCATGAGTTGAACAATTCTGATTTTTGTAGATATGGACATATAACTTCCTGACCATTAGAACAATTAACCAGTGGAACAACCTGCCTCCAGAAGTGGTGAATGCTCCAACACTGGAAGTTTTTAAGAAGAGATTGGACAGCCCCTTCCAACTTTATTATTATTATAGCATCTGAATATATTTCCAGGGCCTTCATGGCTGCTTTACTAAGTACTAGTCTGTGATGTATTTCTTGACTGCTTGTGAAAAGGTCTTGGCGATGGAAGGTCCAAACACCCAAAGCCACTCAATCTTGCTTGAGTTGAGCTGAAGCCTGCTGCTCCCTATCCAGGACCCTCAGCCTCCAGCCCCTTGAACAAAAAGACCACATTTTTTTAAATTGAGATTTTTGTCTTTCTTAGCTAAAGAACATGACTAATAATGCAAAAAGTTCTTCTATTTTTATTTATGGTATCTATCTATCTATCTGTCTGTCTGTCTGTCTGTCTGTCTGTCTGTCTGTCTGTCTGTCTGCCTGCCTGCCTGCCTGCCTGCCTGCCTACTTACCTGCCTACCTACCTACCTACCTACCTACCTACCTACCTATCTATCTATCTATCTATCTATCTATCCCTATCACATTTACAAACTGCCTATATTCCTCACAGTTACTGTGGGCATTGTCAAATAAGATATAAAACATAAAAATATAGATAATATAGATATTATAATATAAGGCAGATTAAAACAAGAATAAAATGTCTAAAATTCAGAATTAAAAAGACAGGGCAGGTCCTTCAAGCCACTAACTAACCCCATGGCTGTGTGCATCTCTGTGGGTCCCAAGTGAGTCAGCAGAACCAGACATTTCTGAACAGTCAGGTGAATGGGTACCCACCTCATCTCTGGTGGAAGAATGTTTCAAGGGGCAGGGACAATGGCATAGAAGGCTCTCTTCCTGGACCTCACGAACTGAAGTTCTTTAGCTGATGAGGTCTGCAAATACTTTCCTACCAGACCAGGTGAGATTGGCCAAAGTAATGGGATGAAGATGGTTCCACAGGTAGCCTATCCCAATGCCAGGTACTTCAAAGGTCATAACCAACACCTTCAATAGGACCCAGAAGCAAACTGGCATCCAATGCAGCTTGCACATAGAGGCATATAACAGAGATGTTATATGTGCAGTCCTTTAGGTGTCCATAATTGCTGGAACAGCCACATCCTGTGCCATCTGAACTTCCAGATACTTTTCAAGAGTAGCCCCAGGTATAGTACAGATTGTTAGATTGTCAAATTTGTGCACTAGACTTATAAGACAGCAATCCAACTGATTAGTTATAAATGTCCTTAAAGGAACAGTTTCAGGAAATATGATGTGATTTTATGAACTGAAGATGAAAACCAACTGCAGTCTCTTATCTTGCAGTATACGGAGTATGAGCTACTCGCATGTCCTGCCCTTCTTCTTTGCCATTCATGACATCAACCAGAATCCAAAGCTGCTACCCAACATCACCCTGGGCTACAACATCTATGAGAACTTTTTCAATGCAAGGTTAACATATGAGGTCATGATGGACTTAATGTCTACAGGGCAAGAGAATGTCCCAAACTACAGTTGTGGAAGACAAAATAATCTTCTGGCTGTGCTTGAAGGGACTGATTCGGAGTTCTTTTCTTCCATTTCAACTATGCTGGGCATCTACAAAATTCCACAAGTAGGAATGAATACTGAAGCTAATTTCATTTTGTAAAGTCTATTGATAATCCAAAAGGAGTCAGATAATAAATAAAATAGAAAGATTGCAGAGCTTAAAGAACACCTGAACTATTCATCAGGCATTCAAATACCTTTCTTGATTCTTACATCATTGCATATCTTGATTTTTTTAAAGATACATAGATTACACAGAGATGTTTCAGCTGAATGAACCTTCACCCATAGCTCATCTGAACTGCTCTCAACCATATTTTGCATGGAATTTGCATCCTCTTTTCCCGCCCTTCTGCCTCTTCTCCCTGTCTTCTGGTCACTGCAGTCTCATGTCTTGGCAGACAAAAACATCTTTTCACCCTTATTCCAACAAATTCCAAACAAAATCTCTAAGGATTGTAATGAAAATAACATAGGCAAATGTTACTTTAAGAGAGTTTTTCCCTACTTGCACCTAAAGACAATGAAAACATACCCAGTTGACATATTTTTTTCTACTGCGCTCACATGTCATTCCATTTTCCCCAATCTAGGATCAAAGCAAATCAAATGATATATATTTTTAAAGCCTTTACAATACAATAGTACAGCAAAGAGAGAAACACTGTAATACAGAAATTTCTTATTGGGAAAAGGAAAAAAGAAAAGGAAAATAAAACAGCATATCTAATGAAATGTTCTGTGCAGTTGTATAACTTGGTGAATATAATTGACCAGCTGATATGTCAGTATAGAGTTAACATCAGAAAAAAAATCCCTTAGAGGTAAGAACTTATTTTTGTCCTTAAAAGCAAAGCAATCAACCATCTTTTCTGTTTCATCTTAGATCAACTATGCGGTCATCAGCCACATTCCAGAGCAGAAACTTCATTTCCCTTTTTTCTACCGGGTGAGTCCAAAACAAGAACCTCCTCACTTGGCAATTATCAAGTTGCTCCTGCATTTCCGATGGACATGGATCGGCCTCGCTGCTCCGGACAATGAAAGTGGAGAAAAGTTCAGAAGAACCTTTGTGCCAGAAGCCGTAAGGAAAGGTGTCTGTGTTGCCTTCTCAGAAAGCTTACACTTGGGGCCTAGAGCAGCGAGGGAAAAGAACAATATTGAATATTTTAGCGACACTAAAGTGAAAAGTATTGTTTGTTACTTGAACTTTCCAGTCACATTAGTACTAGCAATGCTAATACGAGACATTGAAAAGAAAAAAATCCTGTTTGTGGGAAAAGTATGGATTGCTACAGCTTTGTCAGATTTAAATGTGAGATTATTTTACCAATTGGTTAATCTCCAGCATAACCATCTTTTATTATCCTTCTCAACTAAGACAAAGAAAAGGACACAACATTTTGATTTTAATTCACATTATTCTGCTACAGGAAAGTTTGGGGAGGCAGCATTTCAGTGTTCTTATTTAAGCCCTTTGTTGTCTAAGAAAGTTTGGAACAGATGCCTGGAAAAAGAGACCTGGGAAATCCCATCCCCGGATCTGGTTGGAAGAATCCTGTCTGAGGATGGCTCCAGTATTTCCACAACAATCCAGGTTGTGGCCTGGGTCCTCAGTGCTGCCTTTTCCTCCCAAATGAGTAAGAGGAGGATGCCTGCTGGGGACCACCAGACACTCCAGATGGTACAGCCATGGCAGGTAATGCTTCTTCAAAAGGTTGCTGATGGTTCCCTTTCAATTCTTAAATGTTACATTAAAGATAAGCATCATCGTATGGGGATACCCTAACAACAATTGCCTGTTTCTAATATTTGTTCTGACCAAACAGATAGATTGTGTTGCTGAATCTTCTAGATTAAACCTGGTGTGCTGATTCAGGATGCTTGTGACATTTGGATATGATGTTTCAAGAGACTGGAAGTTTCTTTTCACAATTGTTGAATAAATAACAATAGGATGTGACATTTTTTACATTTTTTACATTTTTTTAAATTCTACAAGCTAGACTCCAGCAGTATGTTGACCGAGAATCACCAGAAGTACAGGCAGGATTTCGAAGAGGCAGAGGAACTACAGATCAAATTGCCAACATACGCTGGATCATGGAGAAAGCTAGGGTGTTCCCGAAAAACATCTATGTCTGCTTCATTGACTATGCTAAAGACTTTGATTGTGTGGATCACAACAAATTGTGGCAAGTTCTTAAAGAGATGGGAGTACCAGACCATCTTATTTGTCTCTTGAGAAACCTATATGTGGATCAAGAAGCAACAGTGAGAACGGGACACGGAACCACTGATTGGTTCAAAATTGGGAAAGGAGTCTGGCAAGGCTGTATACTGTCGCCCTGCCTATTTAACTTATATGCAGAGCACAACATGAGAAAGGTAGGGCTAGATGAATCAAAAATTAGAATTAAGATTGCCAGGAGAAATATCAACAAACTAAGATATGCAGATGATACCACTCTAATGGCAGAAAGTGAAGAGGAATTAAAGAGCCTCTTGATGCGGGTGAAGAAAGAGAGTGCAAAAGTTGGCTTGAAACTCAACATTAAGAAAACCAAAATCATGGCATCCAGCCTTCTCAATTCCAGGCAAATGGATGGGGAAGAAATGGAGGTAGTGACAGATTTTATTTTCCTGGGCTCCAAGATCACCTCAGATGGGGACTGCAGCCAAGAAATTAAAAGACACTTGCTCCTGGGGAGGAAAGCTATGGCAAATCTAGACAGCATACTAAAAAGCAGAGACATCACCCTGCCAACAAAAGTGCGTATAGTTAAGGCCCAATTTTCCCAGTTGCAATATATGGATGTGAAAATTGGACCATAAGAAGGCTGAGCGACAAAGAATTGAGGCCTTTGAACTATGGTGCTGGAGAAGACTTCTACGATTCCCTTGGATTGCAAGGCATTCAAACTGGTCAGTCCTAGAAGAGATCAACCCCGACTTTTCTTTAAAAGGCCAGATCCTGAAGTTGAAACTCAAATACTTTGGCCACCTAATGAGAAGGAAGGACTCACTGTAGAAGGGCCTAATGCTGGGAAAGATTGAGGGCAATAGAAGAAGGGGACTACAGAGAATGAGGTGGCTGGATGGAGTCACTGAAGCAGTAGGTGTGAACTTAAATGGACTCCAGAAGAAGGTAGAGGACAGGAAGACCTGGAGGAACATTGTCCATGGGGTGACGATGGGTCGGACATGACTTTGCAATTAACAAAAACAAGGATGTGACAATAACCATCATGCTCTATTGAACTTCCACCATTGTTGCACAACATGTTTGGGATCTGAGCTTACCAATTTCATAAAGAAGAGCAGGCTAAAATAATAAATTAAAAAGATCTATATGTTTGTGAGAGGGGGAGACAGGCAGACATAGACAGACAGACAGAGTGGAAGGAGCCTGGAAGAAACAATGGGAGTGGGAAAGAAAGAGAGGGAGAGATGTAATTAAAGTGAAAAATATACTCTTCCTACCACATTTGCAGACAGAAGCACTAGGATAAAGTACCTCAGTTTTGACATAGTGCTCAAATGAGAATGTATACATTGAAAGGGTGATTCTCCATGTCTTTTCAGCTCCATCCATTTCTAAGAAACTTCCAGATTTACAATTTTTCTGTAAATGACGTTTATTTGGATGAGTATGGAATTCCCACTGCTGACTTTAATATCATGGACTGGGCAGTATTTCCCAACAAATCTGCTGCTGGGGTGATAATTGGGAATGTTGAAAAAGAAGTCTCTTCAAACATCAAGATCTCTGTGGATGAGAGCACCATCATATGGCCAACATCTTTCAAACAGGTAACCAAGTCTGCCTCTATGTGGGTTTTATTGTTCACCTGTTCCTATGTATCCATGTGATTTTTTGGTTTATCAGTCTTTTAACTCAGATGGAGAGTCACCACTGCTAAAAGGACAAGTTGAAGGAGACACTATTTCTCCTGGTCCTCTCAAAAGAGCTATTCTTATGATAAGGGATATCCGGTTTGACGTTGTGATACAGATGTGGGGAGGGCAGAGCCCCACACCCCAAAGCTGATTTCCTTCAACCAGGGAGCCCCAAAAGGCCAAAAGTCACCCCAGAGAGGCGACAACAAAGGAGGAAACCCTTGTTGATCATGGGCAGATGGCAATTAGCCCATTTGATCTGAGGAAATCCCTCCAAACTGACAGAAGAAAGAGGGACTGCATTCATGCAGTCTGTCCAAGAGCTACTGACAGCTGGGAAGGGTGAGGACTATCCCTATGAGAGGATCAATAACAGCATGTCATGGAACTGGGTGAGAAGATCCTCTTTTTATCTACTATTTTTGAACACTATTCCTTGGAATAAATTCCCCCAAAGCAAGAACTCCCCAGATGTGACTGCAGGAAGGGGATTCCCCCCCTACCAGAGAAACAAAAGTGGCAGGAAGAAAACTTTAAGAGGGACAGGAATAGAGAATACAGAATGGTAAACCATGAGTAATATAAAGACATTGCTTTGCTAAATTTGATCAACCGTCAAAATTATTAATTTGTGCTTAAAAAATAACAGTATGAGACTAATTTTATGAATAACTTTTGATTTAAACTCCAATTACTTGGGAGAGTGACATCTAGTGGTGACATAGAGACAAAATCTTTCAGTATATTATCCCTGGGATGGACTTGGCATAAAGCCCAGATACAGATAAGCAGCCAGCTGGATGACTTTGAAAGCTCTTGGAACTGTAACAAACAGCTGAAGATAGAAGGAAGCAGCACTTTATGTAATATTTTATCACTGAATGTATGGAATTATACTGCTCACTGTGGATTACAAACGTTGGTTGACCTGGAATTTCAAGAAACATCTAGAGACAGAGAACAATATGGCTTTTTACTACTCCTGGCTTGGTGAGTCTTACTGATTGGTTTAAGATTGGCTGGCCATTTTGGATTACAAACATTGATTGATTGGCAACTCTTGGACTTTGGACTCTGGACACAGGGCTATAATAGACTTTATAACTGCTCCTCCAAACCTGATACTGACAGACAAAACTTGACTACAGTTTTCAAGTTTTTTGTGGCAAGTCAGACAAGAACTGTAAGAATTACATAACATGATTTTAAATTTAAATTGTGTACTGATATATTGAATACAAGATCTGGGTTTTTTTTCAGATAAAGATACTTTCCAGGGGGCAAAACAGATTGATGATAGAGTAACTGGAGGGGGAATAAAAAAACAGAGTATCCCAAACCTTGCTAAAACTTCTAAAAAATCTGCTTCAGCACCATCATCTGGGTAGCCCAGCCCAGTATATCAGAGATTGATTGAAGCCATGATTCAACAAGAAAGGAAATGCAAACAACATTGCAATCAATTCAGGAACCAATCGTTTCATATAAAGAAGATACAAGAAGACAAGGAGACAAGAAACAATTTGGATAAGATAAATGAGCAGGTCTTCAATATAAACTCACAATTAGAAAATTCTCAACAAATGATTAGAAAAAATGAGCAAGAAATCCAGAAAATGGAAGAGAAATCAAAAGAAACTGAGAAAAAGATGGAGGAAAGAAAAGAAGAAAATCAAAGAATAGCACAGGAAAATAAAAGCCTGGAAGATACAATCACAATACTGGAAATGGAAAAAGATCTCACTTTTTAACAGAACAGAACATACCTGAAGATAAGGAGGAAGTCCTAACAGAAATGATTACTAATTTGTTTGCTGAGGCAGTAGAAGTGAAAAAAATGAGATGGAAGGAGAATTGGATCAGGTATATAGAATTAACTCAAGCTACACAAGGAGACATAGACTCCCTAGGTTCACGTTAGATTTGTGAAAAAAACAATGAGAGATGAAATATTGAAGAGAGTGAGAGATGAGCTGCTGATGTATAGAAAAAAAGAAATTGTGGTCTTGAACAGATCCCTAGGAGGATAAGAGATTCTTGAAAATACTACCAATTTTTGATTATAAAATTAAATGAAAAAGGAGTGAATTTCAGATGATGGATCCTGGAGGGAATATTAATAAATTGGGATGTAGATTGGACTTCATGTTTAAGGCAACAGAGTTCTATGAGACATACAGAAGCTTTCTTGAAGAGAAAACACAAGAACCACAAGGGGATAGGGAAGATGAAATACAGAGAAAGTTAGTAACAGTTAGTAACCCATAGAAAGAGAAGGAGAAGAAAAAGAAGAAAAAGAAAACACAGATCAAGAAAGAAAGTAGGTGATAAAAGAACAGAGACAGGAATTGTCCACCAGGTGAATAAAACCTAAATATAAGTAAAGAAGATGGAGAAAGAAAGTGGAATTTTCTCAATGAATATAAATGAATTGAACTCCCCATCAAAAATAAATATTTTCTGCACGATTACGGAAACTAAAAATAGATGTAATTTGTCTCCAAGAAACACATATAAAAAAACAACACTATAAATTGCTGGAATACTCCAAAATTGGGAAACTTTATTTTACATCAGCACCTCAAAAAAAAAGAGGGATCTTTTTATATATAAAAGAGACATTGGAATCCAAACAGGTCTACTCAGATAAAGAAGGAAGAATCCTAATGGTAGAAATAATGATAAACCAAAAACAGATACTGATGGTAGGAATATATGCACCAAATAACAAACAAAAAGAATTGTATCAAAAATTACAAAGAAAAATATTGGAAATGGAATATCAAAACATTTGTTTGATAGGAGATTTAATGCAATTGTAGATAGAAAGTTAGATTATAGAAACAGCAAAAGAGGGGAAAAGGGAAGAAAGACATTCTCTAAGGTGTTTTTTAGAATGACAGAAGAAATTTCCATACAGGATACTTAGACAGAAAGTAACCCAAAAAAGACCCAGTACACATTTTATTTGAATAGACATAAATCTTGGCCTAGAATTGATATGATATGGATGTCGTCTGAGCTAAGTACTAATATATATGAGATTGAGGTAAAACCTAACATTTGGGTGGACCATAATCCAATAAAGCTGACCCGGAAAGAGGTAAAGAGGAAATCAAGATGGACTTTAAATCAATCTTTGTTAAAAGAGAAACAATTTGTAGAATTAGCAATAAAGGAAATGGAGTTTTTCTTTAAAGAAAATAAAAAGGAAGAGACATCAATTCAGAATGTATGGGACATAGCCAAAGCGTATTTTAGAGGATTAGCTAAAAAGAAGAAAGAAAAAAACCCAACAGAGAAGAATTCAAGAAACTGGAATTAGAATTACAAATACATCCACAAGAAAATTGTGAAAAGCAAATGGAGACAGTGAAACATAAATTAAATTTAATAGAGTCAGAAGAATTGGCTCTACAAATAAAAAGGATAAAACAAAACTTTTTTTGAAAATACAAACAAGCTGGGGAAATGGTTGGCATATAAACTGAAAAAAAGAAAGAGAGAAGAAACTGATAATAAACTACAAGATGAGAAGAGTGACTTACAATTTCAAACTGATGCAATTAAAAAAACAAAGAATTTTATGAAAAATTATATGATGTAGAAGGAGTTTCTCGAGACAAAATGATACAATACTTGGAAAATGCAAACCTACCAAAAATACCAGAAAACTTAAAAAATATATTAAATTAAAAAATTACAATGATGAAGGAAATCACAGAAGCTATAAAAAAACAGAAAAATGATAAAATCCCAGGACCGGATGTGCTACCCGCAGAGGTTTACAAATATCTACAAGATACATTAAGCCTACCAATGAAGAAAGTGTGTAACGAGGTATTATTAGAGGCCAAACTACCAAACACCAAGCAAGTATTACTTTAATATGAAGAGAAGATTCAGATTTGACACAGATAAAAAATTATAGACCAATATTATTATTAAATGTGGATTATAAATTTTTTGCCTTGGTAATAGCAGAGAGATTGAAAAGATTCTTAACTAAAATTGCCACTGTTAGATTAGCAAAAATGTTTAAAAATATGTCTAGCAAATGTTGGAAATGTAATCAAAATCCCAGTACATATTATCATTTGTGGTGGACATGTGTAAAAGCAAAAAACTTTTGGACTAAAATACATACTTGATGAGAAAAGATGTTAAGAAAACATGCAGATTTTAAACCTGAACTTTTTTTTTTACTAGGCATAATGCCAGAAAAGTTTGATAAACAAAATGTATATTTAACATTACATGTATTTGTACTGCACTGGAAAAATGAGATAGCACGATTGAAGGAAGCAATAATGAAGAAAATATTGGACTCTGCAGAAATAGACAGACTCACATTGAGAATCAAAGGAAAAGAAGATACAGAATACTTTCAAATATAGAACTTATTTTATCAATGATTGGAAAAGCAGGGGTGAGAGTAAGAATTTAACCAATATGACTAGGCAAAAATCAACCCAGGCAACATATTGTTCATTAAGCACAAATGAATTGTAGTGATAGAAAATTAATAAAATACTTTAAAAAAAATCTATTGCTTATGATGGGAATACCAGCATTGTTCCGGTGTAGAATGGAAAAGATGTTGTTGGCTAGGCCAAAGCTGCTTGTAGCATGTAAGGAAACTTAGGAGCATCACAAACCAGGGAACTGGCCTTTGACACTGAGGGACTTACGGTAGGGCGTTTTATTCAGTGGAATCTTTGGTGTTCTCTGAGCTTGGTTGTTTGTCTGCAGGTAATTTCATTGGTTAATTTCCCAACTAAGTAACATCATCAATGCCTGATGATAGTAGTGATAATGTTATTTACTCAAGTAATGAAATATCTGCAAACAGGCAATCAAAACCAGAGAGGATCAAGGAGTTTACAATTCAACCCTGAGTTATACAGATTTTCTTCTGTTGAATCATTCAATGTTTTTTCAAAACTGGAGTCTCCTTTGAGACTCAGTAGATAGTAAATTGAGATCTAAGAAATACATATTGTAAGAAGGCAGAGGAAATGTTGTGACAGATGGTATTCTCGCAATTGCTAAGATAAGATGAAGTAACCCTTTGCTTTCCATGCTTTGGACTAGACTTTCCACAGTTTTGTATCCTTGACCAGTTGGCTGAAGCTGATAGGATCTGAAGCCCAAATGGAGAAAAATCCCAGGATAATGATGATTGGACTGGAGAGTCAGCAGCTTTTTCTGACCATTAAGGGGACTCTGAGATCATAGCCTGCTGAAATGAAATTGCTAGTGGAGAAATTTCACTAAAACAAAAATATTTTCATTGTATTTGGAAAAAGATCTTGAAAGTACCTTCTTGAATTCATGAACTCACTTTGGTGCTCACTTCCATTTTTAGAAGTAATCCCCTCATTCATACATTTCTCTGATTTTTCTTTCTGTTCAGAAGGCCCCCTTTTCTAGGTGTACGGAAAGTTGCCTCCCAGGATATACCAAGCTGACGAGAGAGGGAGAACCAGTTTGCTGCTATGACTGTTCTTCGTGTATGGAAGGAACTATCTCTGTGCAGGAAGGTAGGTAATTCAAGAACAAAGAAGAAGCACCAGTCTTTTATTCTAAGGAAAATATAGTAGCAATAGGAATTGCACTTAGACTTATATGTTGCTTCATAGTGCTTTACAGCATGCTCTAAGCAGTTTACAGAGTCAGCATATTGCCCCTCAAAAATCTGGGTCCTCATTTTACTGATCTCGAAAGGATGGAAGACTGATTCAACCTTGAGTTGATCAGTATCAAACTTAGGCTGTGGGCAGAGTTAGCCTGCAATAAGGCATTCTAATCACTGTGCCACCACGGCTCTGGTATTAGCAAGATTTGTTCTCATATACCAATATGTTACATCTAGACTCAGGAAACAGACTAAAAACACTGCAAGAATTGTTTAGTGAAGGTAAAATTCACCATGGTGGATGTTTTCACAAGTTGCTGAAACAATAACAAGCAATTTTGAAAAAGATTGAGAGACCTTAAGAAACACGACAGCATTTGAAACACATATAGAAAACAAGATTTATGATTAAGAACCATATATAAATTGTTTTTGAAATACAACATGGAGATGGAAAAAAATAAACATTTTTATGATAAAATGGATGCAAAATGTCAAACAATGAATCACAATACAAAAATGAGAAGAGCTTTCAAAAAGAAAAAAACAGAAAATTCATGCCAAGTTATAATTTAAGGGGAAATTGCTGCAAAATTGCTGTTTTTCAAATGTTCTACAGCTACATCAACAATTGCAAAATAAACAAATAATAGAACATTTAATGTTGGAAAAGCCATGAGAAGAAGGAACACTTTATCATCTGTAGTGGTTATGCAAAAAAACCTCAAAAGCATTGGAATGAAATACATCAAATTATTCAGAAAAATCCTATACAAAATGAACTGAAATCACAAATATTCTTTATAGGTATAGTTTCAAAAAGCAAAAAAAAAAAAAAAAATGCTAACTCTAACCCTAACCTCAGATTCTACTAAGATATTTTTTCTGGCAGTTGCAAGAACAAATTTAGGAGAGAATTGGAAAAATAGATATTTTGTCAGTGATGTCAGATTGGGAGGTCAATTTGGAGAATATGCAGCAGTGACACAATTGACAATACCTACAGCAGTGATTTTTGGCAACATTAAGTCATGTGGACATGAACTCCAGCATTCCTCAGAAGCCATGGAATTCAGGGAATTGGGGAATTCTGGCTGAGGAATTCTGGGAATTGAAGTACACGTCTTAATGTTGTGAAGGTTGAGAAACACTGATCTACAGTATCTGTGATGAAGTTTAAGCAACTTTTTAAAAGAATAGCTCTCCTATGTGGAACACATTGAACAGCAGGATATATTTAAAGCTTTAGAACATGATTTTTAACCAGAAAGTTGTGAGATGAATCAAACCTAATATCAGATGCCAGCAAGAATCTTTACACTTTAAAGTAAAACACACATACACAGAGAAACAAATAGATTATGTGTGGAAGTGGTGTGTTTGTGTGTGTGTGTGTTTATTCTACTCACAGCTTGGGGAAATAATGAAAGGAAAGAGAGAAATAGTTATCATAAACATAATTAACTACTTTATTCATTCTTAGTAATTAAGCATTTTTTTCCTTGCATTTCATTATTCTAATAATATAATTTCTTTAAAAATAGACAGAGAGAAAAAAAATCTTCATTGCTCTATCTACATCCTGCTTCTGGTTGTTTGGTCATGATGTGCTGAATGTCATTGAATCACTATTTAAAAAGCAGTTGTGTTTTCCAGATGTAGACCAATGTACAAAATGTCCAGATGACCATCTCTCCAACGAGAAGCGGGATCAGTGTGTTGCCAAAGTTATAACTTTCCTGTCCTACAGAGAAAACTTAGGTTTCATCCTGGCTGTCTCTGCCCTTTTTTTGTCTCTTACCACTGCCTTAGTTCTAGGAATTTTTATTAAATATCGAGAAACTCCCATAGTCAAAGCTAACAACCGTGATCTCACCTACATTCTGCTGATCTTTCTCCTGCTTTCCTTCTTGACTTCCCTTCTATTCATTGGTCAACCCAAGAAAGTGACATGCCTTCTTCGACAAACTGCCTTCAGTATTGTTTTCTCAGTTGCTGTGTCATCCTTGCTGGCCAAGACTATCATGGTTGTGATGGCATTTCTGGCCACAAAGCCAGGAAGCAAAATGAGGAAATGGCTGGGGAAATCTTTGGCCAATTGCATCATCCTCTCCTGCTCTGGTGTTCAGGTGGGCATCTGTTTCATATGGCTGGGAATCTTTCCCCCATTCCCAGATTCTGACTTATATTCCCAAAAAGGGCAGATCCTACTGCAATGCAATGAAGGTTCAGTCATCATGTTCTATTCTGCCCTTGGCTACTTGGGCTTTCTGGCTTCCATCTGTTTCTTGGTGGCTTTTCTAGCCCGAAAACTACCAGGGGGCTTCAACGAAGCCAAGTGGATCACCTTCAGCATGCTGCTCTTCTGCAGTGTTTGGGTTTCTTTTGTCCCCGCCTACCTGAGCACCAAAGGAAAATACATGGTGGCTGTGCAGATCTTCTCCATCCTGACCTCCAGCCTCGGCTTACTTGGCTGCATCTTTGTCCCCAAATGTTATATCATCATTCTGAGACCTGACATGAACGCGAAGGAGCATCTAATGTTGAAAAACAATGAGTGAACTTGATTTTGGCAGTTATATTTTATCCAAATTATTGCTAAGTTAAAATAAGACATTGCAAACAGTTATTTGTTCAAATAATTTTTTCCCTCCCATGTGATTAATCTTACTATCAATAAATAGCATAGTGATGGTTATTGATGTTTCCTCCAGCAATTTAAAACCATGTTATTTGTCTTCTAATCTACATTTCTTCAATATCCATTCAATATACAAGATGAATAAATAAGAAAGGAGAGTACAGTGTTGTCTCATTTCTTTACTGATCTGGAATCATACTGTTTAACTCTGTTTTTTTTCAGAGTCTGGCTTCGAGTCCTTGTGTAAATTTTTTAAAAGGACAAAGAGATATTGTCAGATTGTCATTTCTCAAAAACATTCCATAGCTCAACATAATTTCTTTTAATTGTTCATTTATTTTAAAAAATGTGTTATGGTCACCTATCTTAAGACATATTTTATGTTTTATAATGTACAAAAGCCATAATCTTAACAAGTATTTTTGTTTTCTGTTTATCCAATCAGGAAGTGACATCTACTTTGGGTACTTAACTTATCCTTCCAATTTCCCTCCACCCTCTGTCTCCTTTTTCACCAAATTTTAAGGTAAACCAGCCAAATGCATTTCCCTCAGGGTTCTAGTCCCTAACAGCATCATGAGGATATGAGTCTCCTGCAGGGTTCTAGTCCCTAACATCTATATAATAGGCTGGCCCAGTGGGACTGCTTTCTCCAAAATCAGCAAGCAGGTCACTTCATCAGCCCTCATGACAACTGAACTGACTTTCAAAAATAAAAACTGAATTGCTTTTTCCCCCTTTTACTGACTACAAAGGTTGGCTCACAGAAGCAGAATAACAAAAATGCCAGGCAAATAAAATGCAGGTGCCACAAGTTTCTGAAACCTGCAGAAACCTATGGCACCTGCAAATAAAATGCAGGTGCCACAAGTTTCTGAAACCAATTTAGAGATGTTTTATCAAGAAGATTTGCTCGTTATAATTTTTAGATGAGATGCAAATCTCTTGCCAATGAAAACAATGATCAAAAAACCAGACTCAGGAAACTACAGACTAATCAGTCTGATATCAATATCTGAGAATATCATGGAAAAGATAATCAAAAACAGATCTGAGAATATCTCAAAGCAAATAAAGATATAACTAGGAGCCAGCATGGTTTTATTAAAAACAGTCATTCTTTGACACTGTCATTCTTTGACAGTGACTAAATTAGCAAAGTGCTGTGGAAATAGTATACTTAGATTTCAGTAAGGCGCTCGACAAAGTAGACCACAACCTACTTCTTGGTAAGCTAGAAAAATATGGGACAGACATCATCATCACCTGATGGATTTGTAACTGGCTGATAAACCGCTCAATGAGTAATCCTTAACAGTATTACAGCTATATCAGTGTTGGGATTCAAATAATTTAACAACCAGTTAAATTCCTGCCCTAATGACTATTTTAAGTATAGAAAACGATATGCCAAAAGGTAGTTTATTATTTCATGCGTTTAATACAAATAAGAACAATAAAAGAGGTACACTAAACTAGATTATGTTATAAGAAAGTGTTTTAAAATATTAATGAAAAATATTAATACTTAACAAAAACACAAAAAACCCTCTTATTTAAGATATTTCCATATTGCTTCTTGAATGGCGTCCTCACTTGCAATTTTCTTTGCTTTTATCCCAGCATCATCGGCTGTGTGATTTATCCTTAACCATCTTTTCACTGTAGGAGTAGGATCCTATTCCTTTAGAGATAGGATGATGATGATGATGATGATGATGATGATGATGATGATGATGATGATGATAATAATAATAATAATAATAATAATAATAATAATAATAATAATAATAATAATAATAATACTGGTGATGATGATGATGATAAAAATAATAAAAATAATAATAATAATAATAATAATAATAATAATAATAATAATAATAATAATAATAATAATAATAATAATAATAATAAAGTTGGAAGGGACCTTGGAGGTCATCTAGTCCAACCCCCTGCTCAGGCAGGAAACCCTATACCATTTCAGACAAATGGCTGTCCAGTTTCTTCTTAAAAACTTCCAGTGTTGGAGCATTCACCACTTCTCGAAGCAGGTTGTTCCACTGGTTAATTGTTCTAACTGTCAGGAAGTTTCTCCTTAGTTCTAGGTTGCTTCTCTCCTTGATTAGTTTCCATCCGTTGCTTCTTGTCCTGCCTTCAGGTGCCTTGGAAAATAGCTTGACTTCCTCTTCTTTGTGGCAGCCCCTGAGATATTGGAACACTGCTATTATGTCCCCCCTCGTCCTTCTCTTCATTAAACTAGACATACCCAATTACAGCAGCCTTTCCTCATATGCTTTGGCCTCCAGTCCCCTAATCATCTTTGTTGCTCTTCTCTGTACTCTTTCTAGAGTCTCAACATCTTTTTTACATCATGGTGACCAAAACTGGATGCAGTCAGGCATTGTAAAGTGGTATTAATACCACTAAGGCATTGTAAAGTGGTATTAATACTTCACGTGATCTTGATTCTATCCCTCTGTTAATGCAGCCTAGCACTGTGTTGGCCTTTTTGGCAGCTGCAGCACACTGCTGGCTCATATTTAAGTGATTGCCCACTAGGACTCCAAGATCCCTCTCACAGTTACTACTATTGAGCAAGGTACCCCCTACACTATACCTGTACATTTGGTTTTTCTTGCCTAAATGTAGAACCTTACTTTTTTCACCATTGAATTTCATTTTGTTAGATAGCGCCCAGTGTTAAAGTCTGTCCAGATCCTCCTGTATCCTAAGCCTGTCTTCTGGAGTGTTGGCTATTCCTGCCAGCTTGGTGTCATCTGCAAATTTGATGATTTCCCCATCTATCCCCTCGTCCAAATCATTGATGAAGATGTTGAAGAGCACTGGGCCCAGAACAGAGCCCTGGGGCACCCCACTACACACTTCCCTCCATGTAGATGTGGTTCCATTGAGGACCACACGCTGAGTACGGCTGATCAGCCAGCTACGGATCCATCTGGTGGTGATGCTTCTAACCCACATTTTTCTATCTTATTAAGTAGTAGGTTGTGATCTACTTTATCAAATGCCTTACTGAAGTCCAAGTAAATTATATCCACAGCATTCCTCTATTCCCCAATTTTGTCACTTGGTTAAAGAATGCAATAAGATTTGTCTGGCATGATCTGTTTTTGACAAACCCATGTTGGCTTTTAGTAATGACTTTGTTTGCCTCCAGGTGTTCGCTGATTTGTTGTTTGATTATCTTTTCCAGAATTTTCCCGGGTTTTGAGGTCAGGCTGATAGGTCTGTAATTTCTTGGATCCATTTTTTCCCCTTTTTTGAAGATGGGAACTATATCAGCTCTTTTCCAGTTTTCCGGTAGTTCCCCAGTGCTCCAGGATCTTTGAAAAATATAGTTCAATGGTTCTGAGATCACATCTGCCAGTTCCTTGAGAACCCTGGGGTGTAATCCATCTGGTCCTGGTGATTTGAACTCGTCTAGGCTGGACAGGTGCTCACTTACCATTTTCTTACCTATCTTAACTTGCGTTTCTATTCTGTTTTTTGGCATTATTTTTGGTAGGTTGGTCTGTTTTTTCCCTTTCTGTAAAGACAGATGCAAAAATGAGTTAAATAGTTCTGCTTTCTCCCTGTTGCTTGTCACCTTCTTGCCACTTCCCCCCACTAATGGACCAATCATTTCCTTCACTTTTTTCTTGTTTTTTACATGTTGAAAGAAGCTTTTTTTGTTATTTTTAACTTTGGTCGCAAGCCTTAGTTCATTTTGAGCCTTAGCTTTCCTCACTTCATCTTTGCAGGCTCAGGCTATTTGTTGATATTCTGACTTTCCACTTTCCATAGTTGTCCTTTTTATCTTTCAAATTTGTCAGAGAGTTCTTTATGCAGCCATGCTGGTTTCTTTTGAGAGGTGTTATTTTTCCTCTTGGTTGGTATTGTGCTGGACTGGGCTTTTATTATCTCACTTTTCAAAATTTCCCAAGCTTCTTGAGTTGTTTTCCCCTTGAGGATTCTCATCCATGGAATCCTTCCCAAGCCCTCTCTAAGTTTATTGAAATTAGCTCTCTTAAAGTCCAAGACTCTAGTTTCACTGTGTTCTATTTCTTGTGCTTCCATAATGTTGAATTCCAATATTGCACGATCACTTCCTCCCAAGGTTCCTGTGGCTTCAACACCTTCTATCATTTCATCTCTGTTAGTGAAAATTAGATCCAAAATGGCTAATCCCCTAGTTCCCTTCTCTAGTTTTTGGGAGACAAAATTGTCTGCTGGGTTTGCAAGGAATCTGTTTGATGTTCCACTTGGTGCAGAGTTTGTCTCCCAGTTGATGTCAGGGTAGTTAAAGTCCCCCATTACTATTGTGATGTGCTTCCTACATACCTTAGTTAGCTGACTAGCAAAAAGTTTGTCTATTTCCTTTGTTTGGTTGGGTGGCCTGTAGTATATACCTATGGTAATGTCGTTTCCCCCCCCTTTTATATTGACCCAAATGCATTCAAGACAGTTTTCATCATTGTTGTGTTCTATTTCTGTGAAGATGTAGTTATTTCTTACATATAGAGCAACTCCACCTCCTCTTTTATTTGGTCTGTTTCTTTTAAATAATTTAAATCTCTCTAGCTGTGTGTTCCATTTGTGGGTTTCATCCCACTATGTTTCCATAATGGCAACAATATCATATCTGCCCTCATTAACCTGAATTTCTAGTTCACCCTGTTTGCTGTTCATACTCTGTGCATTGTTGTATAGACATTTGAGTCCTTTATGACTGACCCTGTGTTTACTTTCTATGTAACCTGTGTGGTGCCTGAGTTCCCCTATTGTCTTACTACCTATTTGGTTAGTGCACTTTGTGTGACACTTGCTATTAGAAGCTTGATTTTGCTTGACAACAAGGTTGATATTCTTGTCCGCACACACATCTATGTTACATGCACTGATAGCTCTATAGTTTTTAGA